GCGAGGACACTGGTTGCCCCAAAACTACAGAAAGGGACACAGGTGATCTCTCCTTTTTCCGTCCTTGGGCTAGGACCGGGACGATGTCTCCAGAAACAGCAGCCCCTTCCTCAGCAGCTGTCGTCTTGGGCTAAAGGCTCCCTCCTGTCTGCGGGCCTGGCTGCACCAGGCGCTTAACCAGCACCGCCTTCTTCCTTCTCCATCACGCGCCCTCTAGACGCCCCCCGGCCTGGAGGACTCTGTGCAGGGATGGTGGTCATCTCTGTGTGCCCTTGGAATGTGGCTAGTGCAACAGAGGAACCGAGCTGCTCATTCTAATTAATTTGCACTGAAGTAGCCACGTGTGACTAGTGGCTGTCTCACTGAGCCGTGCCGTTGTTGCCCAGAGCAAGGACCCTGTTCCTGCCAAGGGGGCAAATGCATAATTGATGACATTCATCTGGATTCATCAAGAGTGGGTCCTCCTAAGGATGCCGATAATAGGAAGGCCCAGAGAGGGACAGCGTCTTGCCCTAGGTCACACCGCGAAGCAGCAGTCCCTCTGTGGCAGAAGCCCAAGTCTTCCAACGCCAGCTTCTTCATTGTTTTTGGGGAATGTAATTGCTCCCCTTTGTTCAGTGGGGAAGGGGGGCTGGAGCACAGACAATACTCCCTGTGCTGAACACATGTGAGTGTATTACACACGTGTCTCCTTTATTCCTGTCACCCCCATTTTACAGGTGAGGCAACTGAGGCTAAGGAGAGGAAGTGCCTGTCCTTGGTCCCGGAGCCCACAAACAAACGGGCCATGGTCTCATGAGGCTCTCGGTGATTCAGCCCCAGAGTTGTCATGAATCTCTGTCCCCAGGAGGTCCAGGGTGCGTGAGCGCCGGGTGTCCACACCCAGCCGGGCAGGTGCAGTGAGTAAGCGCACACAAACCTCTCCCTTACCATGGAGTTGTTTTTCCAGCCCAGTCTCCTAAGATTTGGTTCCTGCAGGTGCCACACCTGGTGTCCCGCCCTCCTGCCTATTCAGGGTCAGGCTTGAGTGGCGGAGTCTAAGTGTCAGGTACACCTGTTAGAAAGGCGAGCACAGGAAAAATCCGCCTTTGCCTCTCAGAGCCCAGGAGAAGGGCAGCGGGCCCAGTCTTGCTCTCTGCTCTCTTGTGAGCGCAGGTCGCAGCGAAGGCTGTGAGGTGCGCCAGCCAAGCGCCCCCTGTGGTCACCCAGCTCGTTGCGCCAGAGCAGTGTTGATGGAGAAATGCGGCACACCCGGCCAAATTTGAATTTCAGAGAAGCAACAAATAAATTTTTAGTGTCAGTGTGTCCACGTGATATTTAGGACATACTCATACTAAAAATTATTTGCTATTTATCTGAAATTCAAATTTAATTGTGCATCTGGGGTTTTCCGTTTGTTTTGCTTTGCTTTGTTTGCTCAATCTGGCAAGCCCACGCGGGTGGCACAGTCCCCATGCAGTGCACATGGCAGCTGAGATCCGGAGATGTGACAGGGGGTTGCATGAGGTCACGATAAGGCCCTGGCCAGGACTGGATTTGACGCCAGGGCGCTTGGACTCCTGCGCTGTCTGCTGTTAACAACCTTGCTGGCTTCCTCGGGGCAGTTTGAGGAAGCCCAGAAGTCACACTCCTTAAAAAACAAACAAACAAACAAACAAAACTGCCTTTTCCCTGCCCAGACATGTTAGCAGTTACTCACACCTTAGTTTGAGATAGGCTTTTGGTGACAGTTGATGGGCAACTGGGGAGAAATGTCAAAGGAGGGAGTGCCTGAGTCCGTCTGGGCTGTGGTAACTAAAGCGCCATAGACTGCGTGCTTGTAAACGACAAAACTGTGTTGCTTGGAGTTCTGGCGGCCTCAAGTCCAAGATCAAGGCACTGGCAGATTCAGTGTCTGGGCGGGCCTCTTCCTGGTGCTCAGACAGCTGTCTTTTTGCTGTGTCCTCACGCGGCAAAAGGGGTGAGGGAGCCCCCTGGGGTCTCTTAAAAGGGCACCAATTCTATTCCCGAGGGCTCCAACCTCATGACTCCAGCCTCATGACTCAGTCACCTCCCAGAGGCCCCGCCTCCAAACACACAACGGGGATTAGCTTTCAACAGGAGGATTTTGAGGCCACACAAGCATTCAGTCTCTGGCAGAGAACAATAATGAAAGTTTCAAAGTCCTAACTCCTGCTGGAGGTGGTCAGGCAGGGCTGGGGTACAGAGGGGTGGTAAGTGTTAAGACCTTTTATAATCTGACCCCGGGGACCTCTCCAGGCTTCCTCTTGCTCTTTCTCACCGGGTACCCATCCACTGATCACCCAGGAACGGCTCTGGCCGTTTTGCCTTTGCTCTCGCTGTTCCCCTGCCCGCCACCCTCCCCCACCCATCTCCCAAGTCCCCTCTCAGAAGTCCTTGTGCTCTAGAAGACAGCCTCTCCTTTTTATTATGCTTGCTTGTGTGAGCTCCAACTCACTGCAGGCTGCTGGAGGCCCACAGCAGTCCCTGCTCTTTTCTGGACGCCCTGTGCTGGGCCTGCAGCGTAGGTGGCCCACAAATGTTTGCTGGAAAGAGGGCAAGGGAGGGGCCCCCAAAGCAAACCTCCTACTTTGCAGTTTTGCTGAGAGACTTGGACAGTTCCCAGCCCTCATCAGAGCAGCTGGACACTCCCCTGTAGACCGCCTGCCTCACGGGGCGTGGCTTTGGGGCCCTTGGAACCATGTTCACAGTGGGGTCTGGGAGGGCTAGCCTGAGGGCGGGACCTGTCTGTGACATTAACCTGGGAGTCCCCAGCACCTAGGGCGGCATCTGGCATGTAGCAGGTGCCTAAAACTCTTGTTGGGTGAGTGGATGGGTGGAGGGAGTCATTCACTGGTCATGTGTCATCACACGCTGTCTGGGGCTCTTGAGACCCTGTGGTGAAGGGCGTGACCAGGCCCGCCCTCCGGCGAGCTATGCCCACTGGGCGTGCAAGTGGCAAACAAGCAGACCACCCTAGTAATAAGGGGTTCTGTGCAGGTTGTCCAAAGTGCTGTCAAAATTAAGACAGCAGGCAGGGGCCACTTTAGGTCTCTGAGGTGATAGTGGGGTGAGACCCACTGGCAGAAGGGAAGGACGCTCTCCTGGTCACCTGAGTCTAGCACCTTCCAGATTTGGAAGCCCCTGGTGGCTCAAGGGAGGCTCAGGGAACGCTGCAGGGCAGATGCCCCTGAGGTGGGCAGCGGGGAGGGGTTTGGCACGAGGTAAGGCAATATGCCCTGCATTTAAGGGGCCCTCGGGCTTCTGTGGAGGATCAGCGGGGGTCAAGCGGGCACTGGGAGGGCAGGGAGGCCTCCCTCGCACAGGGGGCAGTTGACCCAGGTAGCCTTGGAGGAGGAGGTAAAGGGGCACAGGGGAGCCAGGGCTGGGGTTTGGACCAAACCGCCTTCTCCCAAGGCCCTTGGTGGCGGAGGGACACCTATCCTGAAGGCCTCGGCTCTGGTCCCCCTCAGCCTGTCCCCACCCTGAGACCTGGCTCGGCCACAAGGCCCAGAATCCCCATGGAATGTGGGCGGCTCAGGAAAGGCAGCCAGCACCATGTCAGTATCGAGTGCGCCCTGCGGACCGAGCCCCATGGGAGGAGGGCTTCGTCCTGCGTCTCCTGGAAGCCAGCCCTCACCCCCATGAGGGTTGGACCCATTTTACAAATGGGGAGCCTGAGGCTCAGAGGGGAAGGAACTTGCTCGTGACCACTCACCTGGTCAGTTGGCGGGAGCCAGACCAGAGGCCCGGTGACCTGAAAGCTGCGTCCCAGTCGCGTCCCTCTGCAACCCTCACAGCGAGGATGGCACCCCTGACTCCCATGGCACTGAGGCGGTGTGTGGCCTGTGTCACAGGGAGGAGGCAGTTGCAGGAAGAGCAGGGAAAGATGTTTCAGGTGCGGGAAAGAGCTTGGCAAGTATTTCTGAATCTCCTTTAATCCACGAGGCGCGTGTGCTCTCTCAAGGGTTAGTGCTGCAGCGGGTGCCTCCCCTCGCGAGGCCGCTGCCCCTGCTCCCAGCACCCTCTGCAGCCTGGTGCCTGCTGTTGCTCAGATGAGCAGATCTAGCCACGTGTCCATGTGTCCCTCGGCCTGCAGGACTGAGCTGGCTCACAGCTCCTGTGGGTCAGTGAGGTGCCTTCTGGGTACTGTCCAAGGCTCCCCGGGGCCTGAGGGATACCGTGTTCTCCTTGGGCTCGTCCCAGGCACTCACGAATGTAGGGCTGGGTCTAATTGAAGTACCGCAGAAACCTCTGCCCTGGTGTTGCCGTGGGAGCCACTCGTTAGGACCCGCTTTCCTGCACAGACTTGTGCAAGTGCTGACGCCCTGCTCCTTCAAGGCTCCTGGAGGTAGTGTGTTCCTTGAGACGTGCCGAGCATGCCTTTTAGGGCTGTTTCCCGAATGTCAGATTCAGAGGAGGCAGGACTCGGGCTCTGGAGTCGACCAGGTCTGGTTTCAAGTCCCAGCCCTGCTGTCCACTAACTATGGCCTTGTGGAGCTGTTTAACCTCCTCAAGCCTCAATTTCCTATTCTGTGAAATGGGGGTAAGGATCGTGCCTGCCTTGGGAGGTTCTGATAGGACTAAATGAGACCGTGCGTGTACAGCTTACCGGGCATGCTGCCAGCTCGGGGCTGTGATGCCGACTCCCTCCAGCTCTTCAGTCCACTCTGGCTCCTCCCTTTGGAAGGGGAAGACCGCCGGCCATTGGCATGGACGCTCTCGGGGCAGTGGTACCAGCCGTGGAGCCCTAGAGAGTGTGGTGGGGTGTAGGGTCCCACCAGGAGCGCTGTGCAGGCTCAGGGTGGGGGGGCCCAGGACCATACCTGGGGCTCTGCGAAGCGGGTCGTGGCTTTGGAGGTGTTCTTTTTGCACACACGTAGGAAAGGCCCTGAAGGCAGAGCAAACAGGAAAAGCCAAAGCTCCTTGGAACTGTCCCCAGAAAAAGTGAGCGAGTGCAAGCCAGTGTCTCTCCTCTAACCATGTGCCTTCTCCCCTAGTGCTCCTGCGGGAAGAAGTATCTCGGCTCCAGGAGGAAGTCCACCTTCTCCGGCAGATGAAGGAGATGCTGACGAAGGACCTGGAGGAGTCGCAGGGTGGCAAGTCCTCTGAGGTCCTCTCGGCCACCGAGCTCAGGGTCCAGCTGGCCCAGAAGGAGCAGGAGCTAGCCAGAGCCAAAGAAGCCTTGCAGGGTGAGTGACGAGTCCCCTCCCTCCCCTTGTCTGGGGCTCTGGCTCTGGCAACCAGGATCCAGCCTCTGCAGAGGAAGTGACGTGGACACGGGGGTGTCCAGCACCCAGACCGGGGCTGAGGCTGCCGTGTCCCTTTTGGGGTGGAAAGCTGCCTCTTGCAGGGTTGGGCACATATGTCATCTCCTGGCATGTGACCACCACTGTTCTCCATCATGGCAGGTGGGCGGGCATCTTTGCTGAGCCAGGGTGCTGACCCAGCAGCAGGGTCTCCTCCTTCCCAGCACCCGCGGGTCCTTCGGCGCCTCCCCTCACGGGGCAGTGTGCCTGTGCTGGACTCGGTGGGAGGACGCGTCGGCGCCCTGCACTTCACTCACGCGCACCGCGGTGGGCGCTCGGGAGGAGGGCAGGGTCCTCTTCTCGAGTTGCTTGGAGAACCCCTCGAAGGACGGCAGGCTCTGGCGCCGGGAAGCTGGGCGAGAGCGTGGTGTAGGTGTCCAGTGTCTGAGTGATCTCTTGCCACAGTGGGCCACGGACCCATGACCAGAAACTGCTGCCAGAAGCGAGGAAACCAGCGGGCCCCCAGCCTGCTTTCCTGCCCGAGGGCTGGCCTGGTTGCTGGCCGCCGCGGCCCCGTCTCCCTAGGAGCCACCTGCACCCACTCTGGGTGGTGGGGGAGGGGTCTCCAAAGGTCCTTTGAGAAGGGTTGGAGGCCCCCCCCAGACAGTGCTCAGAGACCCTTGTCCAGTGTGAGGCCCGGGGGGAGAGAACAGGCTCCGGGGTCTGCCGCGGTGGTCCGTCCTGCGTTTGTCTGTCCTCCATTCCCCTCGCGTCTTTGTTGCGCCCGCAGGCGGGCGACTGGGAGACGGTCAAAGCCTAGCAACCTGCTTTCCACTCACCCTTTACTAGGATGATAAGTACTCTCTGAAGACTTTATTTTAGAAGCCAAAGCAGGTTAACTACTTAGATTGATTTTGGACTGCTGTAGTGGAAACCCCAGCGCGAAGGGGCTTAAAGAATCTGGGTTTGCCTCTTTCTTCCGTAACCATCCCGAGCAGCATTTTGGGGCGGTGGGTCTCTGCTTCCCCCACCCAGCCTGTGAGAGACCCAGGGAAGGGGCCGAAATGGAGGGCCAGAGATACCCGCCAGCAACAGCTTGGACATGAAGCCATGTCTGGCCTCAGGCAGCGCTGGGCAATGTTGTTCCCAGCTGGGCGTTTCTGTCCCAGTTGCCGGTCTAACTGGGCGGGAGGGGAGAGTGGATTTTGCTGGGCAGTTTGTCGACTCCGTCGTAGTGGGTTTCGCTGACCAGAGGTGAGACATGAGCAGCAAACTCTCACACCCCGGCGAGACAGGCTGTCTGTCCATCTAGCGCCCCACTGTCCGGCCCCCGGGACGTCTAGGAAACTGTTTCTGAGGGTGATTCCTTGCCCAGGTGTTGCGGCACTCTTTACGCCTGAATTCTTTTCAGCGAAACAAACCACACTAAAAGACAGAGACCCTTTTCCGTCAGGGTTTGTTTTCACGGGGTCACTGAGATGCACCCTGGGTGGTCTCCCCAGGCCGTAGTGGGCAGGTGGCCTGTGTTATGGCTGGGAAGCCTGGTGCCAAGCATGCATGCTTTCTCTAGGCGACTGGCCACCTCTCCAGACCGACCTGTGTGAGCCTCCCTCCCCTACCCGCACCCCGGCTTCCCAGGAGCCTCAGAACGTCCCTTCCCTTCCCTGGATGGGACCCTATCGCAGGAAGCCTCCTGGGGAAGAGCCCCAGGGGCCAGGCCGTGGGAGCCGATGTCCTTTGGTCTCACCATGCGCCGTGAGCCAGTGGGAAGTCGGGACAGCCCCAGGAAGCAGTTGGCTCAACCATCCTTGCCGGCGTTCCTTGTAGGGACAGAGAAACCTGCCTTCCAGGAAAGAGTCCTCCCCCATATTCATCCTCTGGACTTGTCGGGGGTAGGGAAACCTCTCAGGGGTTTCTGGGCCCAAAGGAATGGGCAGGGGATAGGGCAGACGCCCATTTATCCCTCTCCCCGGCCCCTGAGACGGGCAGCCTGCGCTCCCCAAGGCCCACTGCTCTGGTCTGAGTGATGGGTCAGACATGGCGAAGTGAATGGCGTAGCGTCTGCGTAGGTGACGGCACAGCAGCTGCCCCTGCGGTGAGAGCTGGCCCGTAGCAGATGTGTGGCCCGTGGGGCCCAGAGCTGGGCAGGCACTGCTTCTGAGCTGCGCTGTAGATTTCTTGTCTGTCCCCAAAGGTCTCCCCGGGGACCCTGAGAGCCACCTGATGGGGCGGCTTCTTTGTGGGCACAGAAATCTCAATGAGGACCTGGAGCGCCTGAGTGAGGCTCAGGGAGATTGAGTACCTTGGCCACGTTGACAGAACTTTTTCCGAAACTTTTTCCGTTACCCCAGCGTCCCACTCCTCCCCTCTGGGGATGAAGTCAGCCTGGACGAGAGAGGCAAGACACTGTTGCAGCTCGGTAATGGGGACAGGAGATGCTCGAACCCGATCTGGGCTTGAATCCCAGCTTTACCACTTACTAGCTGTGTGACCTTGGACAAATTCCTTACCTCTCTGAACCATAGTTTCCTTATTCAGGGTAACAATAACGTTTTTCTGTTAATTGGGGCCAATAATAGTAACTACTTCAGAGGGTTGGTGTGAGAATTAAATGAGATGTAAAGCACTTGGCCCAGCGCCCAGAACCATTAGCGCAATTACTTTGTGATTATCGCAAGGGGGTGCTTCGCAGTCCTCCTTGGATCTGCTTGGAGGTTTGGTCTCCTGATTCCCGTTAGGGGTGGCCCAAACCTTAGGGCCCCTGAGCCCATCTGAGCTCAAGGTAAGCTGTGTTCCTGAAAAGCAGTCACGTGGGCACCTTCAGCCGCCTGAGCGTCCTGCCTGGTGTTCTGCAGTCATAAATAGGATGCTTGCTCCCTGGCCACAGCACGCAGTGAGTAAATTGCAGACAGATGTGGGCAGAAGGAGGCTGGGGCATGAAAAGGAATTTATGTGCCCATAATGAGGAGAACGGGAACAAACGCACAAGCCAAGTCAGCAGCAGATGTCGGGTGACACTTGTTAACAACCGGCGTCCCTGTGGTGGAAACGCGCAAAGCCCCCCAGAGACTTCTGGCAGGTCCCCACCTGGCCGCCCCCAGTCTTTGGAGCAGTAGGAACTCAAACAACTGAAATATCAGCCCATGGTTTCAACATCAAAGCAAAACGGATAGTCTATTTTGGGGAAAGTGGGTTTAGAAGGTTCCTTTGTTTCTGTGGGATGAGTCCAGGAATGTGTGGTTTAGGATTTTGATCTCCCTGTGAGTTTCAGGCAGAAGCAACGAACGGTTGTTTAGGAAAGAATGGTGTTATGGAGCATGCCTCCACATGTGTGATAAATGTACCGGAGGCCTGCCTGACCCTAGCTCCACACACGTGGTGAGCTTGTAGCCCGCAGGACCCCTCTGGCGTATCTGTTGATTTCCCCAGGCCCTCCTCAGTTTCACGCATTACTCCAAGCATCAGGGCTCTGTAGAAATGATCATGAAAACTTGCTTCTTTCCTTTTTTGATCACTCAACGGCACGTCAAGGGTGTTGAGCATTTTCCCACAACAATAAATACTCTTGGAAAACATAATTTTTAATGACTACATAATGTTTCACCAAATGGACACACCATAATTTATTTAGTCATTTCCCTATTACTGGACATTTGTTTCCACATTTTTCTTTTCGTGTTTGCCGTTATATGATGCTACGCTAAAGACCTGTGTTTATAAATCAGTTTATTTTCTCAGGACAGTATTTCTCCAACATTCCCGTCTCTGGACCATGTTATACTCTTACAAAACTGAGGACCCCAAAGCGCCTTGGTCTGTATGGTTTGGATCTATTGTTATTTACTGTTTTAGAAATTAAAACTGAAAAAAAAGTCTTAATCTTTCATAATTTATTTTAAAATGATAAGCCCATTGTATGTTAATATAAGTACAATTATTTTTAGTGAAAAAATAATTCTATTTTCCCCCTCAAAAAGATTGAAGTGAGAAAGGCAACATTGTTTTGTATTTTTGTGGAAACTTGTTAATGTCTGATTTCCTAAAAAAAACAGCTGAATTCTCCTGTCTGCCCCTCCAGTCAGGCCGCTGTTATTTGTTTCCTTGATTGAAAATCTGGAATCACACAGGCACAGCTGGAAAAGGGAGGAGTACATTAATTGCCTTATTAGATAACTGTGGATAATTTTCTTCAGTGCCACACTAAAACTCGCCAAATGGTAGTTTCTTAAGATGTTGGCTGCAGTGTAGAATCTGAAACCTTATTTTTGTGATATGTTGCAGTTGTCAAAGCCATTGGTCTGATTTGCACTTTGAATGGATTTTCGCCCCCACATAGGATCTTTTTTAACATCTAACATTGATCAGTTGGAAAATATGGGCTCACTGAGTGATGCGGATCTTCCAAATGTTGACATATTTCGTTATCCATAAAAAAAAAGTCTTTAAGCCTTAAAAAGTTGTGACTGTCATAGTGGCAGGTCAAGTTTGCCAGAATTCTAAGTTTTGCTCCAGAGCTTAGGTTTTATCATTGGCAACAAATACCGTCAGCTCTTTTCCTAAAAAGTAACAGGCTCCCTTCCTTCCCTGGTTAACTTAGTTCAGTAGTTTCCCCCGACACCGAAGTTGGTCTGTCAGTCACCCCATCAGGCACAAAGGGTTTTCTATGGAAAAGTGGCTAGTTTAGCTCGCAACTCGGCCACTCCACCGTTTTCCCTCGACACAGCCACTGTTCTTTGCTATGCAGCAAAAGAGATTTAAGTATTCTTCGCATTTGATTAAAAGACAAGTACTTGGGGATCAAGCGTTAATAGACTAAACCGTTTGTACTGCTTCATCAAGGATGCTTGGGAGTAAACTGCACCCTTTTCTCCTACTGCAAGTGCATAGGGTCGAGAGTGCAATGACCACTAATACTGTTCGCTGCCACTGCCGTGGTTTTTACT